CCCCAAAACCCCAAAACCCCAAAACCCCATTTGTTGTTTAAACCCTGAAAAAGGGATTTTAGAAGATATCGTGGAAATGGGTGAAGAGAGGGGAGGATGGAAGAGAGCTGGAGGGGATTTTAGTACCTGATTAGGGACTATAGGGGTGAGAGAGAGCTTACGTGGGGTAGAGAGCAGAGGGAGAAGAGTTCGCGGAGGGTTTTGATGTCCATTTTCTCGGGTGGGCGGTTTTTGAGTCGGAGGGTTTTAAGAGAGTTTTTGAGGTCTGATTTGCTGATGGCTTCGATTATTGCTTGTAAGTTTTGAGGGTTATTGTTCCAGTCACTTCTTTCTTTTTCACCTCAAAAACAGAAGACTAAATCCTTTATTTTAAATTTTCTGCTAGTATCAATGTCAATTTGTTCACCTTCAATTTTTCAGTTCAAGAACATTAATATAGCCACTTGGCTAAAGGCATCAATAATATTCCCAAGGAGGTCACTGGGGATTACAAAGTTTGTGATCTCGAGCCTATGTATTGACCTGGAGCTTATAGACTCAAGGGATGACCAGTAGTCAGTAATAGCTCCTTCTGGAAGAGAATTCTTAAAACAGAACCTTGAGACTTTACTAGGGAAATAATCAGATAATAACCTGTTCACATTCTCTCAGCTTTTTGGTGTGGTAACAAAGGTAAATATAAAGCAATCTGATATGGTTTCGTAGTCAAGGCTCTCAAGAACCTTCTTAACAGTCTGGCAATCTTGGGGTTTGCTCATGTCTAGCTCGAGAGTACCTTTATCAATATTTACGATATCCTTCTTCTCTTCTTCCTTTGGAGTATCCTTGGTGGTGGATACATTTTTTGCTTTATGAGAGCTCTCATCTGATGTCCTACCCTTCTTTGAGATTTCTGGTCGGTCATTAGAAAATTTATTCGTCGAAGTATTTTTCGGCTCGTCTTTAGTATAGCTTGAAGGTTGAAGAGGTTTACCTTCTCCTAATGTATTCCTGAAATCTTCATTTTTGATTTTATTTAAAATACACTGAAGAACTCTTTGGAAATCAGAAATAATTCTTTGAGCATTATTAGCTATTGACTTTGTCTTTAAATTAGAAAATAACTTACATTTGCTTTTATTTCGAATTCTTTCTGTTTAATCTTAGATCTGATTTCTCCCACCATTAGTTTAGCTATTTGTTTATCTAAGCAGATCGAAGTGATCCCAAACGCGATGACCATCTTATAATCCTTAATCTGGCCAGGAAGGTAGGTTAAACTACCCTTAGTCTTACACAAGACTCCATCATCAAAAACCTCTATCATGACCTTCTGAGAAGTCTGAAATACACTGATATCATCAGAGCTGACTGTGGTCTCAAGTCTCATTGGAAACTCAATTCTCTGTTTTGATGGTTTTCCTCACCCCATTAATAATTTTATTTTTATCTATTATCTTCACATACATAGGGGTTTTGGGGTTTTGGGGTTTTGGGGTTTTGGGGTTTTGGGGTTTTGGGG